TCTGTGCCATTTGCTCAACCCTCATGACCACGTATATTTCATAATGAAAAGAACTATTTTTTTTTTGCAAAACTTTTTTTTTATTTGCACGCGCGCATCAGTTTTGGGGCTCCCGGAGGATGTCATCCATATAATCAAATCAACATGGCCTAACTGGGATTTTTTGTCAACAGCCCAGGGTAAAAGGCTTCAAATTCAGCAGCATCATATTTTCAAAAATACACCTGAGGAATTGCAAAGAATTACAAATGGGAACCTTTTTTGGTTGGAACCGTAATACAGTCAGTTGTAAATGGTAACATCATCTTGCAAAGGTAGCCTCTACCAGGCTTGAGGGCGCGGCTGGAAATATAGTAGAAATTGGCCAAATAGAGAGATATAACACGCCGAGGGAGTTTAGCCATCCAGTTTACAGTTTGCCGGCCCACTGTAAACTGGATGGCTAAACTCCCTCGGCGTGTTATATCTCTCTATTTGGCCAATTTCTACTATTTCCAGCCGCGCCCTCTAGCCTGGTAGAGAGTAACACTTACAGTTCCTCCCAGGCATCCATTCACCACGATGCACAGCACGTAATAGTCATTGATCTTCTTGTGAACCAGACGCTCAAACAGAATGGTGGCTAGACCACCAGACGCGCAGGCCAGACTAGTGTTCACAACTGAGCGGGCCATGGCACCAGCGTCTCCGGGATGAGATATTGCTCCCTGCGAGCTTCCATTGAAGGCTAAGAAGCCGACCATCAGGATGAAGAAGCCTGTTTAAAACAGCATATTGAAAATGAATTTTACCTTGTTAACGTTATGGAATGCACTAAATATGTTAATAAGCTATATTTACTTGTCTCGAAACAAGATTTCAAGAGTCTTAGTGCTAGAGACAGATTTAAATATATCTTTACATGTAATGATTCCCACAATGCAAAAATAGGTAAATATATATAAAAGACTGCTTTGTTATTGGAGCAAATACCGAAAGTCGTGACTAGCCCCACGAATGGTTATGACATAAATAAAATACAACACATCGCCCTCGGCCCCGGCCCTCCTGCGAGTCGACCCGCGGTCGGGCCGATACCTCGTGTTGTATTCTATATTCACATGTAAGTTTGTCAGAAGCGGCAATAATCATGACAATTTTCTTTATACGAAAGGTGCAGGATGAATGATTGTTGAATGTGTTTCTTACCCAAGGTGACCAGGGCTGGAGAAGATTCAGAGATGGCGTGCTCCTCAACATCCTTGGCCACCTTCCTGCGGCCCAGCACCAAGGCCCCCATCAGGGCAGCAGTCCCCCCGGACACGTGCACCACACCGCTTCCCGCAAAGTCCTGGGGAATGAATGAATACATAAATTAAGGAATGAATGAATGGTTTATTCAGACTGAGAAACTCTGTCAGAGCCTATTTGCTGAATTGCAGGTTCTATTACAAACATTTAAAAAGTATCATTTATTTATAATATTAAACAAATCATTTACCTATTCAAAAGCAATTCTATCACGCCTTAAAATTGCATGTATCCGTTACAGATGATTGAAATAATTAACATAATAAATATATAATGCACATAAGTGTATTTCGCAAACTGTACAACTTACAGGGCCTCACTCTTTCATCACATAAGTCACAATTTTTTTCTTTGTTCAAATTCTCTGAAGGCTTGTGTAGAACACAATATTGCTATCAATAACGTCACATTAGTCTACGTGTGGAGACAAAAAAAATTAAAATGGAATTTTTGACATACATGTACAAGGCTGGCAGTAAAACCTTTATGCTGTGGCAACATTATTTTTGATCATCGTCATCATGTCGCGGGTTCCCAGTCCCAGACTCTCTCCCTCCAGTCCCCTTTGTCCATCATTCACGATTTTCCCATCCCCAGAATGCATTGCAAAAACAGGGGTCTAAACCTCATTTGCATAGGACAGGAAGGCTTCGGAATGATCCTGTTGACGCTAAACCGCAATTGCTTTTCACTGTGTTTTGAGGTGTTGGGGCATTTTATGCTCAACATTAATTAAATTACTATGAGTCGAATCTGACAACAAATAGAGAATGAAATTTGTGGTTTGTAACGTTGCAGCATCAGTATAGCGTTACCACTATAACGTTAGAAACCACATATTAAAAAAAATCATTCTCTAGTCGCTATGGTAACTGGTGTCAATGGACCTATACCATTGTTACGTCACAGTTTGTTTACCGCAATGAATGCCGGTCAATCGACGTTTATGTTGTACATGGGTGCGTAGCGCGGTGTGTGTTTGTGTAGCGTTAGCGTAATATAACTATAAGGCTACTACTTTCGTCTAATGTCACAACTAAATCACCCATGCGGCATGTAATGCTGTGTCAACACAACTAGACGCAGCAAAAATCAGACATACCTGACTTTGAAAACTTTGAAATGATCTTTATTCTTTAACTGACCGTTCTAGAATGTCCTTTAGAACAGGTAAACAAACTGTGACGTAATAATGGTATAGGTCCATTGGGGTACATAATGTTGCAATTTTAAGAGAGGATTTAGACTCCTGTCTGACCATATATGAATGTGTTTGAGTAAGAATTAACAGAGCAGACCTATGCGAAAGTTAACATTATGCATTTGTTTTGCAAATGTTACCATTATATATATATTTCAGTTTTCATTATGCAAACAATCCCCGGGCCCTTGCTTACCTGAAAGGAAAGGCCGTACATATCAGAGTTAAGCCAGCCCTCGCCGCTCCAGGCCCAGTGCACAACGGTCGGGTACACAAAGCCGGTGATGAGGAAAGAGTAGATCAGGTACCCGTGGTACGAGGTACGACCAACCATGGCCCCAGACACGATAGCGCAGGCGGTGGCGGCAAACGAGTACTGGAAGAATACCCAGGTCAGGTCGTAATCGCTCTGCAGGTAGCTGAGGGCGAAGTGGAATGTCCCCATGTATCCGTTGGTTGTTGGGCCAAACGCCACAGCGTATCCGAACAAGAAGTAGCCTACAGTACCAACACCTATAAAGACAAGCCAACAATTCCGTTAGTACCGTAACAGTAAATGAACCAGATATATAGTAAGGCCACAGCAAGTAATTTTTTTATGGATGACATACTCCATAGACTCCAAATCTAATGCGTTAGGGCGAAAAAAAACGAGGCGGGCCAAAACAAAACATGATTCCTACACTTAAAATTTTTGACATCATAAATCTTGTTAATCAAGATGTGATACAAATATTGTGCTAGCTATGTTTACCGAAAAATAATACACTGAAACAACTTTGAAAAAAAAAAGTACTTAGTTTTTAATTAATTACTTATTAAAATTGTTTTGATTCAGTGGGAACATCACATATACACAGCCACCCTCACATATGAAAGGAAGGAAATATTTAACTACATCAAAGTAAACGCGACAAAACAATAAATGAGAGAATTGTCTTCTTGTCTCGTGTCTTCATATTTATCTGCCATCCACTTTCCGGGACAATAGACATCTTTGTCCATGTCAGCCCGCAATGTGTCAAAGGTTACTATAGGTTAGATTAGGTCTGGTTCTGTGTAAAGGCTTCCTTTCTGTGAGTGTAAAGCGGGCGCGAATCTGTAGTATACAACAGAAGTAGACTACGATGTGTAGTACGACACTTTCGAAGTAGAAGTGTAAGACCACAGCAAGCTATTTTTATGGATACCATAAGCGCGCGCATTAATTTTCGCCTGATGTTGGAAAAAAACAAACAATAAATTTTGTTGCCCTCTGACAGTGGCCAACATGGCAAAATTGGGTAAAATGGCATGTTTTGCCATGCCGGAACGTGGATGGCAGATAACAATGAAGAGAGGAGACAAGAAAAGGCTCTGATTTAATGTTTTGTTTCTTACTTTGATGCAGTGATATGTGATGGTGGCTGTGTATATGTGATGTTCCCACTGAATCAAAACTATTTGACAATGTCCAATGATTGAGTCAAAATTTTAAAATGTTGGAACCTTTTTTCGGCCCGCCTTGTTTTGTTTTCGCCCGCTCGCATTAGATTTGGAGTCTGCGGAGGATGTCATCCATAAAATTGACTTGCTGTGGACTTATAACTTATAGAACGTGTGAAAGAAAAACAAAGGTAAAGCGAAGACATCACTTACAAACGTCCATGACGTTGTTTAGCAGGATGGCGTGGACGTTGGCGACCTTGACCGAGCCGACTTCCAACAGGGCGAAGCCTGCCTGCATGGTCAAGATGAGGCAGCCACACAGGATGTCCAGCAGTGTGTCCAAGCCTGTGGCGTACACTTTCAGCGTGGCACCCATGTCCGCGATGGCCGCCTCTGTGGCGTTCACCCGGCCGTCGAGAGTTTCCAGTGTCGCCATTGTTCTCCGCGCGTCAAAAAACCCTTTACATGACTGATGTTTCGAAAAAAAGCCGATCCGTTACAGGTGACCAGAAAGAACCTGTCGAATAGGTTCGAACGTTCTTAGTTACCAAACGGTTGACTACGCTGTTGACGTCACAGTTTGTTTACTCTCTAAAGTACGTTCTAGAACGGTCAGTTGAAGAATAAAGATCATTTCAAGTTTTCAAAGTCAGGTGTGTTTGAAAGTAGTATATATAATGCTACACAAACGCACACACCTGTACAATATGTACAATATAAACATTGTTTGACCACAAACTGCCCCGGCATTCATTGCGGTAAACAAACTGTGACGTAATAATGTAATAAGTTCATTCCTCAACCTCCCGATCCCGTTCACACCCGAGTGATAGTCCGTTGTAAAAAAGTGACGAAAGGGTTTTGAGGGTCCAAGTTTGAGGTGACATTTCTCATGAACTGTCACGAAGAATCATTAAACATTAACATGGCTAAACTTGTA